CAAACTCCTCTGGCCAGCCACAAAGAAAAGAGAGAACATGATAAGCCCTCTGAGGCAGCCTGTTAGACCATTCGTAATCTTTCATGCTTGGAGGACTACATTGGGAATGGGGTTCACTGGCAGAATGGCATGAAATACTGGCTGGCTTTGTTTTTTCAGTCAAGAATATACCTCAAGGCTTGGCTTAGTTAATGGTAGATGAGTGCATCTGCCAAGATTAAAGGTAAAGGGTAATGGGAAGAAACCTTCCTGATAGTACATCCTCAAGAGATACCCAAAACTTCATCATTAGTGACTTATTCCTAAAATAATGGCAGAAGAAGCCTAACAGCAAACATATGGAGAAAGAGAAAGAGTTAGTTTCAGAGCCTGGAGTGAGACTGAGGTTAAAGCTATAAGTGAGAGTCAAGTGTCTCCAGCTGTGGAGATGGGAAAAAACGGGGAACTGGGCAAGTCGTTAGATATCTACTTGAACCTGCATGTTGACACAATGCAGGGAACCCATTTTTGCACTATTTTCAATATATAGTGCAGAGGTGGGCATGGCTACTTAACAGAGATTTCCAAGGCTGGACACCAGGCCTTTCCTTTACCCTCCATCACATCTTCCCTGTCCTAGCCAGACATCTCTTTATTTCCAAGACCACAGCAACATTCCTAATGAAGGAATCCATGTTATGATATTACTAGCTATTAGCTACGTGGTTTATGATTTCTTCAAGGGTAGTCTTGAAGATGTAGTGCCTTAAAGCAAAAGAGTAATGTTAGTAATACATTCTCAGGCAAATTTCTGTAGATATTTTTTTCTACAGAGAAATACAATCACACATCTTATAAGATAGCCCACTGGAAATGAAATAGACCAGATTAATTCCCAATGCAAGATAGGTGAAGGAAAACTAGACCTTGAATCGACTATATATCATGCAATTATACATGCTACAAGTCTCAAATTACCATGATTTTATTGTAGTCTCTCTTCATTCTTTTAACTTAGGCATTTGGCATATAGTGAGAATTCAATGAATGGTACTGCTCATTGCCTTCATTGTTATTACTATTAGAGGCAGTAGTAGTAATAGTGCCACTTCCGTACCTGGCACAGTGCCTGGGACATGTTAAGTATTCAAAACTATAATGATCATTTTAATCTCTATTGCTCTGGCTCCTGGCATAATGCCTGTCACATCATAGGACACCGATTGAGTTAGTTCCCTTCATTCTTACTTTTCCCTGGGAAACATTTTTCTTCTACTTACCCCAAAGCTATGCCTTCCCAAAGGGGCTGTGGAGCTTCCTATGACAATAAGACTGAGTCCAGCACCACCAGCGGTACCACCTGAAAAAACATCCAATCTATTCCTCCATGTAGCCTCTTAAGTGGCAAATGGGCAGCAAGACCATTTTTTAGATGGGGAGACTGAGATTATGAGCTATTGCCTTGGAATTTTAGCTCATCTCTAATCCCTAAATTCTATTAAGCCTGAAAAATAAGCCCCCCACTTGCCCCTAATCCATCTCCCAATTAGGCCATAATCTCATCACCTTTCTTTTTGCACTCTGCAGTGTCTGGACTGCCCTCACATTTTTATATTTAATTCATACTCAAAGGACTAGCTTAAGTGCTACCTCCTTCAAGAAAATGTTTCTGAAACCTCCAGCCCTCACTGAGCAGGGACCTGTTATTTCATATCTCCCCACCCCCACTCACAGTGACTAGCAGAGTGCTAGGTACATTAGAGCCTCTCAGTATGCAAATAATGATTAAATAAATAAATATAAACTGTATTGGGTGGTTAATCCTCTCTTCAGGAGGTCACAGGAGGTCAGGTAGAGGCTAGGAGACAGTCTACTATTAGTATCATTAAAGTCACTTGTGCAGAGGCTCAGCCTATAATCCCAGCACTTTGGGAGGCTGAGGTGAGCGGATTGCCTGAGCCCACGGGTTCGAGAATGGCAACTTGGCGAGACCTCATCTCCACAATAAATCAAAAAATTAGCTGGGCCTGGTAGCACTCACCTGTAGATCTGGCCACTTAGAAGGCTAAGGCAGAAGGATCGCCTGAGCCTAGCGGGTCAATGCTGGGATAACTGTGAGCGTGCCATTGCATTCCAGCCTGGGCGACAGAGTGAGACTCCAACTCAAAAAAAACAAAAATCACTTGCTGTTTAGTGGCAAATGCCTGCTCTACATGCCACTTTCCTTTAGCCACTGCTGAGTTACTTGAAAGAAGTGAAAGAAAATATCAGTGTTTCTTGAGACAGCCGAACTGCACTCTGTTCTTCTGAGACTTGGCACAGAGAGAAATTTGTCATTTGGGCCTGTTTGGGGCAGGAGGCAACATTCATCTTCAAATACTAACTTCCCAGAAGATCACAAGCACATGAATGGCAAATGTCACTTGATGTAATATATGTTTCTTTCTCTGCCAAAGCAGGGATGCCATTACCTGGAAGAGTGAGGTAAATGTTTGTGGAAGCTTCATGTTTCTTCTTTTCTTACGTTCAGAAGATGAGACAAGGAGCTCGTTTTCACATTTCCATTTCCTTTTGCTGGCAAAACAGTTAAGTAATGAAAGACACTGAAATAGCCTCTAGAGTGTCCCGGAGGCCTCAGGGATGAGAGGAAAGGGGGGGCCACTCACCTAATGACTCTGAGCCTTATTTTCTCCCCTGTGGAGGATCATCATTTCTATCTCAGAGGGCTAGTACAAAGAGTCAGTGAGTAATGTGTGTGAATTTGATCTCTAAACTATGAGACAAGAGCTCTGTACTGTGCTTTATTCTACGTGATTGATGCCAAAGGCTGTCTTTTATTCTTGGCTTCCAGAAAAAGTTTAAACACATTGTGGGAGCTCAATAAATAGGTTTTTACTTTAAAATCAATTCTATTAAATATAAGCTGGCTTTAGATATGGTACAAATAAAACAGACCATACACTTCTTATAATTAAATCAGATTCTCAGATCTGTTAGCTTCTTGATTTGAAATGGTGGAGAAAACAATCATGAGTGGGCAGAGGAGGTACATACTTATCTTTTTGCAGATGGCTTTGGCCTATTGGAGTCAATACCCTTTCCCCAATGAGCTGCTGCAATAAGCAGGGTCGGAGTTAGCACTAAAACAGGATTTCAGTCCAGGTTGTGCATCTGGAACAGCTGCAAATGTGATCTTGAAAATTAACACAGGCCCACAGACCCAGAGCCCACAGGAAACTGGCCAAAGATGAGTTCCAGCTTTTCATCACCAATCAGAAGTATTACTATGTGTATTTTTAGGTGGCAGAAGGAAAAAAAGGTGGGAACTAGCTTAGCCATATCTTAAGAGGTTTATCCTGTGCCAGTTGCTTTTATAAGGTAAAAAATATTTTTTTTTCATTAATCAGTATTTTTTATTATGGTTTTGTGGGGTACAGTTAAGGGTTAGGTGTACAATGACGTTTCATTCAGGCACCCTGCAGATGAGAAGTGTTTTCCCATCCCCCGACAGATATTTGCTACTGTTAATCCCATCCCCCTCCCCCCATAGTTTCCCAGTACCATCCGTCATTTTCTCATAGTATTGCATTGGATGTTCAAGGTCCATTATATGAGTGAAAACATGTGATATTCGGA